TGAGTATCTGTGTGAGTGTGTGTGCTGCACTTTGATCTAATGTCTCTTCCACGGCTTCAGTACCCACAATCTACGAGTGCTCTCCCAGGGCTGACTCCACCTTAGTCCCAGCAGCAGCACTAACACAACATCCCTGAGACACACCTGTCTCTGTGCTGTTGCCCTAGCTCCTCACTGCCCTGCTCGCGCGATTTGCAGTTTCTCAAAGTCCCCATCCTTGTCTTACTTCTTTTATTCATGTCTCGTCTTAATTCTGGCCGAACACTGCCTCTTGGTGTAATTAAGCCAAAAGGTTCCCTCCAGGATCAGAGATCTCAAAGCTAATGTCCTCCATCTTCGCGGTCGCTCTGGTCTCTCTCTATCCCTGATGTGAACCTCTGGGGTCCTGACTGTTCATTTGTCCTTACCTTGAAACTGCCTGGACCCATGCCCCACTCTCCTCACTGTCCCTCTCCCTTTCTCTCTCCCTCTCTCAGTTGTGCTCGGTCTGAAGACCAGAAGCTCCAACACGCCTGCTTGCGTTTTCTCCCCGCACACCCATGTCCTCGGAGGTCAAGTCGCGATGGAGTGGCTCGGGTTCCCAGAACAGCGGTTCGGCCCGCATAGCGACTATGCTGGAGATGTCTGAGAATACGGCCAGCGCGCAGTACGAGCCGGTTCCGCTACCCTTACAGAGAAGCAACAGTCCGGAGGGAGGCACCGACAATAACCCACCGATCCGAGCCGCCGACGGCCAGCCGGAGGTGATCATTGACCCTGACATTCCCCCTAAAGCTCTGCCCTTGCCTGCCCAGATGTCATCTTACAGCGGCCGCAAACCCCTCTTCTCCAAAGTCAACATTCAAGGGAGAACTTATAACTTCTTAGAACGGCCAACCGGCTGGAAATGTTTTATCTACCACTTCACAGTGTAAGTACTGCTTACCATTGTCTTTCAGAAATACTATAAAATGCTTCGAAAACCTCTCTGCTCTTGTTTTAAACACCTCCCCCCCCCCCCCCCCCCGAAGATGTAATTGTGGGATTATACCAGCATTTGATTTATTTTGTTTTTGTTTCGACAACTGTTTTGGAGTTATGTGGTAGAAAGGAGAATTGTTTAAATATTGTTTGCGCTCGAACACTTTCTGAAACAAAACGACAAAACAAGGAGCCGAGCTGTTGGTCTGTTTGGGTCTTGTTGAGATTTCAACGTTTAACATTGTTCTCTGAGAACTTTCCAAACTCGATTAGAGGTTAGGACCGGGAGAGGGTGAGAAATTGAACCATTATTTACTGGTAGAGTCGAGTGAGCCTTCAAGTATCTAGAGGCGCCCGTTTTCCAGAATTGCTTTGGGATGGGGTTAGGATTCTGTGTGTTGTCCTGGGACTGAAGGAGACTGGAGCAAGCCGTTTATGAACTAGAATTCGACCAGGACTTAGTTTTGCAGGATTCGTTAGCTCTAGTTAGTGTTCTGAAATATATCGTTTTGGGAAGGTGTACTTTATGGTATGTAGCTAAGTGGTACGGAGCGCCTTAAAAGCAGGCTGTAGTTTTATAATGATCTCAGGTGGGAATCCTTTCCTTAAATTGAATTGCACTCCTATGAAATCACAGAGTCCCACATTCGCCTGATCGTGACAGCGTTCGCCTTCAGAAAACAGTTAGCTTCTGATTCCCGCTTCACCCTGAACCTTCCGATTGCTTTCAGTCCAACATCAGCCGAGTCCCTTTCTGAAAATTCGTAATGGGTCTGCTCTCTCCGATCATGTCAATTTGTTGGGAGGTTGTGATAGAGAGAATCCTTTTCTGCTTCCGGTTAATTTTAACCTGGGCGATTTTGTTCTTTTTCTCGACGATTTCACCTTTATAGGCAGAGCCGAAAGGGAAGGTGGAGGCGGGGTGGGAGGGGAGGGGAGGGGAAGGTGGGTGGTGGGTAGTGGTGGTGGAGTGGAGGGCTGGCTGGTGGCAAAATGAAAACCTGGAATAAAAAGTTTGATTAAATTGCCCAAGTATAGCTGGCCATTGACAGAAAAAGCAGCGCGCAGGTATGGCCTGTGCAAGTGAATACGATTTCAAGGTGAGCCCTCCTATTGTAGAGAATTCAGTTGTCAGTATTAATCCTGAAGCATCGATTGTAACAGTTACAAAAGCAACACTTGCCACTCTTTGTTGGGAAGACATTTGCAAAGCAGATTCAATATCGCGATACGAAATATACTTTGAAGTTTCATTTCTTGCATTGATTGTTAAGATGCATATAGAACCAAATTAGGATGCGTCTCCTGTTTCTTTTTATGTTCGAAAGATAGCATCAAGAAAGGCTTACGATACTGGGATATGTTTCTAGAAAGAGAAGGCAGGAGGGTGACCTAACAAAGGTCTGTAAAATTCTGAGTAGACGTGGGGAGAACTTTATTTTTCCTGATTGAAGGACAATTCAAAACCAGAGGTCACAAATAAAAGATACGTTGAGTACGTTGAGTAAAGTGTTTGAACAAGTTTTTTCTGAATATATGCTTTATTCATAAAATTTGTGAAGATGCATTATGAATCAAATATGCAAGGAGCAGTAGTTTAATTTAATATAGTAAATGACATCTGTATTTACATGGCATTTGGACAACTTTGATTTATACACAGTAAAAGGACTTGCATTGGCTCCAGCTCCTAGTGGTGTGTTTCTGGGCACAATCTGTAGAGTACAAAATCCTGCATTGCAGATACTTAAAACTAAGCTTGACAAAAAGATACTGTGGACAGAACCCGAGAGGGGCCTGGATGAAATGGCGTGTGGTGAGAAATCTGGGAGAATATGGGTGAGACGATGGGCATGTCCATACTTTCTCTATGTCAGGAGCAACTGGTTACATTTTCAAACAGTACTGCACGCATGGAGATAAGATTCTCACTCATGAGCTGCAAGTAGCCCATAAAGGGGCATTATTGCTCAACTTCATGAGCTGCAAATCTCAACTCATTAATGTGCATTTCCCTATCCTTCCCTGTGGAAACAAGATGTGGACAATTACTGACAGGAAAGCCTGATGTGTGGACCTGCTTGCTCCTCCAGGAGCTCCTCTTGGACACTGGGCAACAACTTCTTAGGGTTCTCTCCATGAGCACCAGCCACGTACACACCCCATCCATGGACACTGGCATCTGATCTATGCCAACTAATCTGCATAATCATAGTACATTACTGATGCATTGACAGTACTGTCCTGAATTTTAGTGCTGCATCTGCACTGCTACCTCTCATTAGAATATTGCAGAAAGGACACTTTACATAGAGATGGGCACCCTGGCATCTCAGGGCTGATTGCTTGGTCTCTCAGGACCCACTCATTTTGAGCCCTACCTGGATGCTCGCAGCATCCCTGGCTTGCCTTGCCTTGCCCCTTTGTGCTTTGCGCCCTCAGCCAGAACTCCAGGATTTCTGCATTTCCTTGTTTTTTAGTTCTGACACAAGCCAGGAAGCCTGATATGGCTGTCAGCAGTGCTCAGTCAAATCACGGAGACAGCCTTCATCTAAGGGCTCCTGGCACAGTTATTCAAAGATAGCCTCCAATGCAGAACTTTCCTCCTGTGCAGAATCCCATCCAGCAGGATTTCCAGGTCCCTGCTCACACAGCGGAGCACCACTTTCCCCTTCTGTTCATGCCAGACGCAAATGATAGGAACCATTCACAGTTCCAGGCTGGCAGTGCTTCTCTGGGTGCACAATAACTTTTTAAAGATGGCACCAGCATCATGAAGCCCAGAATATCCCTGGATATCTAGGTTCTGGAAAGCTACAGTAATGGTGGAATCAGATTGGCATCAGATGAGAGGGGGCACCATAGGGGCGTGGTAGATAGATAATGAGGCAAGTTTGGTAAGATAGCATGAGAAAACCCGTCAAGTGTAATGGAGAGAAAAACCTTCCATGAAAATGAACAAAACCTGACACTTTGCCAAAATGTGACACGATATAGCCCTGCACATTTTCCAAATCTACTTTGCAAAGACATTCCAGGAGGAGGTGGGTGACAGTCTTTTCCCCATTATAGCCACCATGAGAGCAATATGAAAAGATTTTGATTGTGGAGGACAGATCTGACAGGGGAGGCCCTTTACACCAACAATTAAACTATGCTTTCATACTTGTGTGAAGTATTGGTGATGACACTGTCTGCAAAATGATTTTGACAATTTGTTTGAAGGTCCAGGCCTTCGGCTTTGCTCTGAATAGTATGGAACTTGCTATAAAATTAAGCTGCTGACTGGGATATTGTGTAAAGGGAAGTTAGAGTTTGTTATGAGTGTGATTCCATTTTAATTGAATTGAATGAATTAAGGTCACTGGAGCTCCAATAGAACATAAATGCCAGCATAGACCTGGTAAACTGAATATGCTCATTCTGTGCTGTAAATCTATTCAATGCTGTGCAGTCAGTCTGACCCCTTGCTGCCCACTAACTCTTTAACAACTCTACAACAACTCTACATTACAAAAGCTGTGACTTTGAAAACTTCAAAGTTGTTATATTTAATATGTGTGTGTGTATAACATGCCCACAAACTCTGAAATGTGATACAGTCTACATTGCTTCCCCATAGCATGCAATGAACTGAAATCCAATATTGATGTGATCTTGTGCTACGATTCTACTTCAGGTTAAATTGCTGGAGACACCTCAGTCTTTCTCATTACTTGTCACCGCACAAGAGAAAATCTGCTGACAACAGAAACTCCTCTGATGCATGTACACATGCTATGTAAGAGAACCCCCATACTTGCACAATTTTGTGAGGAAAACTAGGGTTAAGCTGAGTGATCGTAGACATGATGCACTCTCTATACCATTCCTCATGCAGTAACATCTCCTGTCATTTCATCAAATGGCACTACACACTCAATGGTTAGAAATAGATTTAATATCTTAAAGTGTACAGAAGAAAACTTTCCCCTTTCAGGTTCCAGTATTATCACAAACAGGATAAATTGTGTGATGCTATTTTTAAAAACAACATCTTTTTTGAAGAAAGGCACTACAGACAGCCATTACGAATGTGATGATGTACCAATCAATACTTTGGATATATCCTTATGCCTTTGATTAGAAACATATATTTGAGCAATTGGCTGGGATAAACTATTTTTGATCAAGGTCAAACCAGGAATATGTGGGAAAACACATAATTACTTTGCCAGTGATGGAATTGGCTCCAGATTCTTAAATAAGCCTCCAAATCCTGTGGCCATCAGCCAAAGCGATGTGAAACTTCATAAAATCATAAAATCATACAGTACAAGAGAGGCCCTTCAGCCCATCAAGTCTGCAGTACAAGAAATGCACACCTACCTACACTGGTCCCACTTTCCCACACTTGGCCCATCGCCTTGATTGTTATGGCATATCAAGCGTTCATCCAAGTATTTTTTAAAGATTGTGAGGTTGCCCACCTCAATTATCCTCACAGGCATTGCATTTGGGACTCCCACCACCTTCTGGGTGAAAAACAATTTTCTCAACTTCCCTATAAACCTCCTGCCTTTCACTTTTACGGTGTGCCCCATCTTCTTGACCATTCCACTAAGGGGAACAACTGCTTTCTATTCACCTTGCCCATGCCCTTCATAACCTGACACACCTCTATCAGGTCCCGACCCCTGCCCCCAACCTTTTCTGCTCCACAGAAAACAATCTGAGCTTATCCAGCCTCTCTTCATAATTGAAATACTCCACCCCTAGCCACATCCTGGTGAATTTCCTCTCCAGCACAATTAAAACCTTTCTAGTATCCTCGTGGTATTCTAGTTCTGTACAGTTCCAACATATTCATCCTGCTCTTATAATCTATGCCTCGACTGATAAAAGCAAGCATCCCGTATGCCTTCTTAACTACCCTATTAACCTGACCTACCACTTCAGGGATCGGTGGAC